CGGTGGGGTGTGCTCATATATTGTTTTGTTTTGTTTGTTGTTTTGGTAATATAATGGTTGCTGTGTGTGTATATAGTATGTATGTATATGTTATATATATGTGTATATGTATGTATGTGTATATATATGTTATTATGCTTATACCTTACTATGGTGTATGTGCTGTGTAGTACTACGTACCTGCTCCTTGTATATAATGATGTACTATGATGTATGATGTTATATATATGTGTATATGCTATACTATATGTGTATATGGGTGTTATATGCCTCTATATATGTGTATAGTGTATATTAATATATATTATGGTATATATATATGTGTGTATGTTTTATATCTGTGTTGAACTGTACCTTGTATGCTAATCTCGAGCATTAGTATTCTGTTGCTGTTCAGCCACATAATACAGTTAATACACCCAGACCCAAATTGACATCTTGTTTATTAGCACATAACATATACTCATTTTGTTAATATATCAAACAACTCTGCAACTCTGTTTAATTTGCTCCCATTAAAAAGCGTCTGCTCTGGCAACATGGCTTGATCCCTCATTTTCCCTTCAATTAGTCAGGCGTTGTGGGCGTTGTCTGTCACATCCTGTGCTTTCATGATCTCTTACAGTTGCCCTTTTTCCTGCTCCCTCTCTCAGCATGAACAAAAAGGGTCACACGATGAGGATCTATCCATTAGGAAGGAGGATACAGCAGGAATGTTCCACTTGGTGACACAGTGTTTTTGCTCAGGAGAAGTGGGCCCACTGAGTGTGTTTCCTGTTTAGTCCCATAACCTGAAGAGCAGTTATGGTCCGTGGAGGTTTGGGGAAGACTTTTGTCTCAGGAATAATTTTCTCTAAGGCCTTTAACCATTGCAGTTTAAAGGGTTGGTTCACCCAAATAATAACATATTTACTTACTCACTTTTAGTATCAGTGCTAGTTTGTGTTTTGTTGTCTACGTTTTGAGATATTTGTCTCTGATATTGTTGCCTACACCTTATTACAGTGGAGATTTCATTGGATTTCTGTTGATTAAAAACATTGAAAAAGTACATAAAAATTAAAACAACATCCCCAGTCTCTAGAAAGTATTCCGACCATGTTACTCTGAATAATCCACAGACTGTCAAAAGTTTACTGTGGTTCTACTTTCTATCAAACAAATAGTGAAAGCTGATCATACAGTTTTTAATCCTCCTCTTTTTGGTGCATTTTCAATTAGTTGAAACGCTGGAGTGCAGTGAAAACAGACTTGTGACTCAAGCTTCTAGTCCACTAAATGGACGAAAAAGAGCAGATAAAAACAGATGTGTGGAATGATAAAGAGACCGTCATGTTCCACAAATGAAAACAAACAATATATTTCCATCACATTTTCCACAGGATTTTCCATCATTTGAGGTTTGACTGGAACTCTTTTAATTTGGTCATTTTGTTACCCGCTCTCCCTCTGCAATGGTTGACTGGAGAAATCATCTGTTTATCTTGATGAGTCCAGTTTCTTACACATTTTTCTCTTCTCACATAATAGTAGTGGATGTAAAAGCGCATAAATTTGCTTTTTCTTTTGCAAAGTAACTGGAAATTCTATCAAATTATGCCCTACATTTGGATGGAAATGTACATTTTCAGAGCGAAACGAGTTGTACATTCACTTTTATGTAACCATCCTCTGGCTAAGGTATAACCTGCTTAACAAAAGAGGCTTGGTCCAGAGCCAGTTGTAGGAGAACTGTTGAAGGCACTGATACAGCTCTTGAATAAACTGTGTTAACTCTTTGTCCAGTTAGCTAATGAGCTAGCTCTTTCTTAGTGAGCCATCACCTCTGGTTACCCTCCACTAACTTTAATGGAGATAAAATTATTTAATATTAATATTTTTTAAGTAAAACAAATCATTTCTCGGGGTTTGTGAATCTAAAAAAAATGTATCCACCATTTTACAATAGCTTCTTTTACATTGTAAGCTTATAGGAACCGTGGGCCAGTGTGCATCCTGTTGTAATTACAAGGTTTGACCACTATGTCAAATTGGCTCTCAAGCACGGTGCTCTTTGTGGGAGCTTGGTAAGTCCTAGCTTGCTCCAATTTGCTAGTATGTTCCAGGCTAGTAAGCAAACTGTTGATACGGGTTTGCTCACTACCTCCAGTTGTATGTCAGTCTTTCCTTTGAGCATACACTATGTTAATAAGCTTCCATTGCCAACTTTTACACTAAATATATAATAGTAAATAAAATGGCTAGTAAAGTGGTACACTTTGTGGAAAGATACATTGTTGTATCAAATCAAATCTGTATGATTGGATATCTCCAGGGGTAGGTATGTTTTTATCAGTTAAGTGATTCAGCCCTTAAATATTTTATTTGCAGGCTTTGAAAATGTCAAAAGTTCTAACAAGTAAATGCAGTCCCCTTTTGCAAGATGCATAATCACTTCAGATCACAATGTGCCAACTATTAAAAATGTAAAAATTGGTCTTATATATTATCATTATTATTGTTATTATTATAGCAGGACATTGTAATAGTACCCCAAACACAGCCATCACTGGAGAGGAAAATGGTAGCCAGTCCCTGCTTATATGGATAAATTAATAATTATACAGCAACCCACTAGAGACGACAGCATTCAGTATGTACGGTAACTAAGATATGTACTGTGGTCTCCGCCCACTCACAGCATAATGCATCTGCCATCATTGCCCAGCATTGATAACCCTGGCTCAGCACTTCAGTCCTAATGTGGCCTGTTGGGTAACTGGAGGCAAATTCCGGGGAAAGCTCGGCTATCTTGCATCCTCAGATGATATCATTAACTCTGTTTTATCTGGCCAGTGATCTTAATCACTGCAACTGCGTCTGTGACTATCTCATCTTTGCCAGTTGTCAGTTAGTTTAAAGGGGAGTCATGTTCCCCTTCCCACCCGTTGCTGGTGACTGGGGCCAGAGACTTCCCGTCAGAGCGCCTCCTGCTGCATTCTTGTTGTTTATGGTCTGCCATTGATTTTGTTTTTGACAAAGGACAGGTTAATCTTTTTGTTGGTCTCACACTGACAGCTTATGATTTCCTTTGGGCATGCCGTCTTCTTTTCAATCAGTTCTTGCTTAC